ACCCGCAGCGCGGCCCGGGCCCGGCAGCTGCCCGCGGTGCTGCTCGCTCTGCCCCAACTCCTGCCTCCGCTTCTACCGCTTGAGATGCGTTCAGCGCCCGCCGGCCCGTCGTCACCTCGCAGCACTTGACAGCCCAGAGCTGAGCGGCCTCAGGACAGGTGTTAATTTCTTCCTAAGGCAGCGTTGACATCTGCGGGTGAAGAGTACCACGGGCTCTTCGGTTGCTCCAGGAAGCTCTTGACTGGCAGCAGGAGGAATAAAGTTAATGGCAAAGTAGGCCAGCTGGGTGTCTGACGGGCACTGATGCTGCAGAATTGGACTCCCGAGTCACCTCGGGACTCGTCAATGAGCTGTGGTAGAGAAGGGCCCCGAACAGAGGGATGCAGGTGACAAAGAAATGACTGGCTAAATTGTATGGGCCGGAGCTTTCTGGGATTGGGGGCAGCGGGGAGCACAACAGGTGGTGCAGTCTTTCATTCCCGTAGCCTCTTCATCTCTGTGGATCTGTGTGTACTTTACAAGCGTTAAGCCAGTTAGGCTCCCCTTTCTGTGCAGTAGGTAAATATCATCCCCATGGTAATAGGAAAGCCAAGAGGAAAAAGGAAAGGCCAACGTTCTCCAAAAAGAGCATTTCCTTACCTTGGGTGCCTCATTTGACACACCCAGGGCTTGCTTTCAGAAGCTGCAGGTATCTGCAGCTGCCTCTGCTTACAACTGGAGTTGTAGATCAGCTTCTGGGGGGTGAGGGGAATCGGACCCTACATATCCCAAAAGGGATACATAAAATTAGTAGCCATTTGATCAGTTTGTTGTAAGGACCAGGTGTTTTTATGCACCTAGTCTATAGGTTTTATAGAAATCTGGTCCTAGAGACTTCTCACCGGGTTTTGTTGCCAGAGCAAGGGTTGGGATTTACAAGACAGAAGGGTGGCATTTTGCCCCTACCTTACAATGTGGACATAGCATAGGCCTGCATTTTGTCATGTCAGGCTGCAGGGACACAATCAAGAGTCCTTTCTATAAAGCTGGACTGCAGTAATTTAGGTAGCTGAGGGAAGTTGTGGCAGTTCCAGCTCTTCAATATTGGCTCTACGAGCTCATGAAGGACTCTGGATATGTACTTGGATGGCTGTTCCAACCTGATGCTCAGGTCACCACATTTTCACAGCTGGAGTCACCCAAGTCAAATGATGCTGCTATCATACCTCGTGATTGCAGCATAGACATCCCTAACTGAATGGCTGCTTCTCCTCCCTTGTGCCTTCAGGGTGAGACAATATACTTTTATCAGCAGGGAAAGGGTAGCTGAGAAGAGAGGGGGGGAAAAAAAAAAAAAAAAAAAAAAAGAACTTAAAAGAGGGTTTGTGCTTTGGTCCTATTAAAGTCAAGGGCACTTGAGAGCACATGAAGAGACATCCCTGAGGGTAAGGCAGATTTCAGTCAAGAGCTACTCTGACTCTGACCCAACAGAGAATGTCTGGGGAGGGCTGCTGAGGAAAAGAAACAAGGTCTGAGACGACAAGGTTGGAATTACAATGAGAGAGAGGCAGAATCCCAGGGGGCAGGGAAAGGAAGTGGCATTTATGATTGCTGTGGAGTGGAGTCTGGAGAGGCAGAGGTCTAACTGAGGGCCAGTTAATAATATTAGTATCACTATTTAATCCCATTCTTGTGCTAAGCAACCTTCCAGTCACCCCCTGAAATATTTGTCACAGCCCATATACCAAAATGGAGATGCTACTTGAGAAAAGAGGTCAGTTTCTTGGAAAGGTATACCAAGGCTGCCCAGAACAGCTCTTCTGTCAAGAGCAGAAAGATGGAATACCATTAGTATTTGCAAATTAAGCCTCCAGAGACCAATTTGGAAGAGTAAAGGAAGTTGATTGTCTCTGAGTTCTGCCATTTGTGCCAAGGATGGGAGCTGCTGAAACTAGGTTTTGAGGATCAGGTGCTTCTGAATCCAAGGATAAAAATTTGCTCACCACAATAGAGAAGAATAGTAAGAGGGAGATGGTTGGATGCCAAGGTAAACTGTTGCATTTGAAACAATGAGGCCATTTCAAGGGTCACAGTACCAGTAAATGCTTAACCCATTAAGAAATTTTACTTAAGTAGAGTCGGTTATGATATCATTTTGTTTGGACCAGCAATCCTAGAGATCGATTCTGCCAGTATTCATGATTATGGCTTATTATTTATGTTGTGGTAGCCTAAAAAGTCCTAATTAGGATCTGGAGCCCATTGTCATAGACAAGCCTATACCCCTAAGACCATATAATCTATGATTGTGTCTTTATTATTTCCCCATTTTAAAGGTGATCTTCATAAGTGATTTAATGCTTCTGGTAAGGTGCTGAAGCTCATAGCTGCTAGTTGCTTTCCCAAGCAACAGAAATAATTTAGAGTGACATTAACAAGACTCTAGTCAATTTCAGAATTGCTATTCAGATTCTGGGCAAGTGAAACTGACAAGTGCCAGGTAAAGTCCACCAAGCTGCACTGGAGTGAGACGGCCCCTGAAATGGAAGCTTAGAGTTGTGAGACATAGGGCAGTAACTGATCACCCCCCAAGGGAGCAAGAAAGCCAGAGATGGAAGATACAGAACCTTAGCCTGTCAGATACCCACCAGTTAGAGGCTGATACAAAAGACAGAACCCCCCAAGCATATTCCAGCCACAGATCCCTAATAAGGGTCTGGCCTGCTTGGGTTCAACTTTGACCCTACTCCTCGCTATTTGGAGTCTCTTAAATTTCTTAAACCTACATACCACCAGCAGCTTTCTGGGAACCTTTCCAAGCACTCCGATCAAAGTACAGGGTTGAGAATCGGGTTTCTGTTTTGAACTTTGACACAGATCACCTGTTAGATCTAGGGCAAGTCCCTTAGGCCACACTTTTAAAGAGGCCTAGTCCTGGTTAAAGAGGATAGGCACCTGATCTGTCTAGGGCTCCAGTGAAAGACACCTACCTGCTGTGCTAGGGTTTTAAGTTAAAAACTTGGAACCTAAGGTTTCTAAGGAGGAGGCTCCAGTGCTTCAGTTGTTGATGTTAAGTTTCTTAGATGCTTAAAGGTCTGTTTTTGGCATACCCAGAAGTACCTCAGTCTTTGCCTGACTGAGCAGCTCAGCATTTAAAACCAATGGTAATTCACAGTCTAGGAGTTCCTCTGCCTTTGTCACTGATGTGGCTCAATATGGCTGTTGTTCTCAGAGCGCACAAACCAGGCTCCACACAAAACACAGCCAGAGGAGGAAGTGCTGCTGCCTTCCAATAGCTCAGTGGCTACAGCACTCAGCACAGAAACTCAGGCTCATTCTCACTTCTTTGGAGAATGCCTAGATCACCAGATGACAAGCTATTTAGGGGTGGACACTCTCTCTCCTGGTCCATTTTCCATAGAATTAAAAGTCACTGAGTCAGAGAAAGCAAATGCAAGCAGTGGTAAGGGCACTCATTGTGAGTGCTAGACCTGACTTCCAGTCCCTGCTCTAGTGAATACTTTATTGTTTTACATGAAGGAAGGAAGAGAACTGGGTAAAATAGGTGGCAGCGAAGTGGACAATTTCATTGTCTGTGAAGCCTCCTCATGTGGGATAAAGATTGCTAGGACTGTGAGGAAGGTTCAGT